AGTCAGCGTGGAGCATTCGCATCCCTGGCTGGAGCGTAAAGAGCACGTGCAAAGGCCCGGAGGTGGAGGCAGGACAGCGCGGAGGTCCCAGGAGTGGAAGCTGGCTCTGCTGCTTCCTGGCTGTGTGCTCGTGAGCAAAGGGACTTAACCTCTCTCGTCTGTGCACTGGGCATGGTCTGAAGCTGAGGTGGCAGCAGTTGTCAACAACAGGGGCTTGTGTTTTGTCACCCAGGGAGCTAGTTAGGACAGTGGGTACAAGCTGATCTTTGGAGTGAGACCACCGGGGCTGGAGTGAGTACTTATTAGTTGCGTAACCTTGAGCGAGGTACTTACTCTCTCAGAGCCTCAGTCTTTCATCTGTAAAATGAGAATAATAATAGGTCCTTGCTCCTGGGGTGGATGTGGACATCGAATGAGTTGCTGTGTGGTGTGTGTAGAGTAGGCCTGACACAGTGCTGGATGGGCTAGCTGCTGCTTTTATAAAAATAGTTATTTTATTTAACTTTATTTATTTATTTAAACTTGACCAGAGAGGGGCAGAGTGAGAAAGAGAGAAAGAGAGAGCGACAAAGTGAGAAAGCAAGCCACCAGGTCTGGTTCTCAAACTGCTGTTGGCCATGTGGGAGTCTAGAGCGCCTAACCACTACACTACCCGCTGTCCCCAGCTTCATTTTTAAAAATAATTAACTTTATTTAATGGTTCATTAGCATGCTCAAGGATCAGTATTTTTTATTTTTATTTTTTAACTAATTAATTTTTTGGTTTGCTATAGACCAGAAGCAGACACACAGAGAGAGGAAACGTGATAACTCATCCCCCAGGAGGGACAGCCACACTGCAATCCTTTCTCCTCCATTCTCCTCTCGGGATTTTGGGCACACTTGCACATACACCCAACATGATTTCAAACTGCCAGGTCTGGGAGTCAGATCATGCAGTCGGCCATGACCATGTGGGATCCAGCCACCTTAATCTGCACGCCACCTGCTGGCCCTGTGAGTTTTTTTTTTTTTTTTTTTTTTTTAAGAGGTTGTTGTCTTAGGGCACATGCACTTGCCAGAGAGAGACAGAGACAGTGAGAGGGAAGTGAGAAATCACCGTGCCAGGGGGATGGCCACACTGCAGTCCCTTCTCCTCTGTCCTTCTCCTGGGTTCTTGGGCATGCATGCACGTGTGCCCGGTGTGAGCCACTGGGTCCAGGACTGGAACCATGGTTGGCCATGTGGGAGTCCAGCGATGTAACTGCTGCGCCAACTGCAGGCCTCCTGGTAGCTCTTTTTGCTAAGAGAAGTTGTAATGTTTTGGGACAGGGTGTATCTGCACACGTGCCCAGTGTCATGGTGTGATGCAGAGTCATGGGGCGTCTGAAATAGAGGGGGAGACCCAGCCAGAGGCCACAGTGTCCAGTGCGTCGAGGCCAGTTGTCAGAGCTGGGAGACAGCACCAGGAGGGAAGAGGGTGACATGGTCAGGGTTAAGCCAGAGAGGAGCAGGGGCTGTTGGGGGGGAGGGGGGTTGTGGCCCAGATGCGGCAGTGAGTAACAGTAGCCAGAGCTGTTGCTTTTATTATCTAGAGAGGGCAGTGGGGAACAAGAATGCTAGCCTTTCTCCTTGGGTCCATCCTTCACTTTGCAGCCGTGTGGTCATTCCTTCAGGACATGCTCTACGGAGGGCCTGAACGGCCAGCTGAGTGCTGGCCTCCGGGTGGTGATGAGCAGCTAGACCCCATTCCTGCCTCATGGACTCTGCTGCTAAAGGGGGCAGGAACAGACTTTAGTTAGTTTTTGCCATGGAGTGTGAGCGCTTGCCAGAGAGAGAGAGAGAGAAAGGAAGAAATCACCCTCTGGCAGGGGATGGCCACGCCACAACCCCTCCTCCATTCTCCTCTCGGGATTTCAGGCACACACATGCGCCTGGTGTGATTTTTCAAGCCGCGGTCCAAAACTCTAACCGGATTCAGCCATGTGGGAGTCCAGCGCCTTAACCACCATGCCACCTGCTGGTCCCCAGAGAGACTTTAAACGTCTTTGTGTCAATCATTAGTCAATACAGATCGGATCATGTGACTTCCCTATTTCAGAATCTTCATTTACGCTCCCCTACAACAGAGCAGAATCCCGCCTTTTAAGCATGGCATGGAGGGCCACAGGCTCGAACCCTGGTGCTGCTCTTGGCAGCTTATCCAGTCACTGCTCCTGCCTCACCCTGGGTTCCTGTCCCGCAGGACGTCTTGCTGCGCCCCAGGCTGACTATGACACCGTCACAGCCCCTTTATGCCCCCTGTCCACCTAGCATGCGTCCACTGGGCCTTCAAGGGCCCCACGGCAAACACCTTCCTTTGGGAGAATGTTCCTGATGGCATCACCCTCTCAGCCATGCTTCCAGAACACCTTGACCTTTCTAGAATTAGAGCATTTGTGTGCAGAATCAGAGGGGCAGTGTGGCCCAGGGCGACGAAGGTCATGACAGGGCTGAGTCGGCTGTGAGCATGGATAAGGTGCTGGGGGGATGTGGAAGGTGCCCACAGGTAGGGGAGCACCAGGGCTTGGGAGCAGCCTCGACTGCCTGCTGGAGGCGGTTGAGGGGAGTGGTTCCTCCCCTTTGAGGATGTTCTGGAAAACTTGGGGTCTGCACATAGGCAGTATGTCTGGGTCACCACCGCTCTGAGGGTTTCTTCCTGGAGCCGCATGTCTGCTGAAGAGTCATTCCTGCCCGAGTTAGTGACCCACAGATGCAGCAAACTCACAGTGGAGCAAAATAAGTCCCGGCCGCAGGACGAAGGGCAGCTCGGAGGCCCTCCAGAAGCTGTCTGCACCTTCCGCGACTGGGAGACGCCATCACCGCTGCAGGGACTGGCCTTGACATCCTGTGGTCCCCAGGGGTGTGGCCTCCCTTGGCCGCTGTCTGTTTTGAGATCAGTCCCAAAGCCTTTGCTGGTGTGTTGGGACGGCACACGGCAGGGCCTTCGAAGGCTGGCTGTTCTCAGAGGGCCGCACGGGTGTAAGGGGCCTTCCTGGGGCAGGGTCCCAGAAATCCAGCCGCTTCACCCCAGGGATTCAAGGACGGATCCAAACAGTAGCTGTTCGTTACTCCCCGTGAGGCCACCTCAGCCTGAGCTTCGTGGGTGGGCAAGGCTGGGCTGGGACCCGCTGAGGCCCAGAGGTGGCCGCTCCACTAGAAAGTGAAGAGCTGCTCTGGCAGAAGACGGGGTGCCGAGAAGGCAGGGAGAGGCCAGCACAGTGGTGCAGCGGTTAATGCCAGGCTCCGCGGTGCGGAGGCCACAGGCTGTCCCTGGTCACTGATCCAGGCTGGCTGAGGCTGGGACCGGGGATCGCAGTGAATACCCTGGCAGGGGAGTGCCTGTCTCTTTTTCTGTCTTCCTCTCATGGAAGAAAAAAAAAAACAAAACATTTAAAACCAAGAAGGTGATGGGAATATTTGGAGTATCCTGAGTTAGGCCTGTGGAACTGCCTCTCACATCGGAGGCAGAGGGCAGCGCCCGTGGAGGCCGGGAGGCTGGCCGGCGCCTGCAGGGG